CCCCAGTCACATTTTCCATGTTTAAAAAATGAGTTTGAAATGCCTCTCTCTGGATTTGGAAGGAGCTAAATAAAAGAGTCATTCTGAGATGGTGTGAACAGAGCTCTCCAGCCTTTAACATTTCCCTGATTCCTGCGGGGGCAGGTGGAAGGTGGGTGGAGAGTCCCCTTCAATGTGTCCTTTTAAATGGACAGTCGAGCAAAGCCACTCTCAGGGGCTTAATGACAAAGTTAAACAACCGGGGACGGAGGAGGGAGACCCCTTGTTTGTTCCTTTATTCCCCCCACAAAGTTCCCCGTAGCTATGGCAACCTGAGTTCCTCAGAGGCCTGTACCCTAGCCACCCGGGGAGCAACCAGAGGATTCTCAAGGCTGTGCTTTTTTTGCAGCAGAACTGTGGCTTTGCTGTTTTGTTAACCTCAGAGATGCTTTCCTGTGGTTTCCCATTTGTCCCACATGTCTTCGATGGAGTTGTGCTCTGGGGTGATGAAGTGTTCTCTGGAGGCAGTGGAGGGTGTCTGCGTGTGTCCCCATGTGTATGTCTGTGTCTGTATGTCCGTCTGCCCTTAAATGTTTCACATTGTGCAGGAGAGGAGGAGCGGATGGAGGCCAGTTGAACAACCACCCAATTCTGGAAGGGTGGTTAAGTGGGTGGCTCGGTGGGCCTCCTGATCTTGGGGGAAATCAAATTAAAAAGAAATGGGGGATGGCGAGAGGGGGGCAAAAAAAAAATGGGGACTCACTGAAGTGGCATTTCCTGGCCTGGGGCCTTGGGGAAGAAAGCGGGCTGTGGAATTTATTTAGAAAGCTTTTGAAGCAGCTGGTTATGTTTTTTCTTAAAAACACACACACACACACACAACCCATTCTAGGCTGTTGGCTCTTGTTCTTTTCAGAATTATGAGCGTGTTTATGTGGCTGTTTGATCCAAAAGCCATGTTCCCAAGAGACAGTGTCCTAAAGTTCCAGAAAATAGGACGTGACTACAAGGAAGCTGACGACGCGTAATAAAACGGGGGCAAGGGTGGGTGGGTGTTCATTTCCAGGACAGAAACCCAGGGCCTTCCTTCCTTGAGATGTCTTGGAAAGAACCCTGCCTGCTGCCCGCTTCCTAACTCCTACATGTTCTCCCTCAAACAGCACAGTTCACAATTCCCGGCCGAGTTTCTTCCCTTTCTGAGAGAGGCAATGGCTCAGTCGGGTCTGACTCTTTGCTACCCTATAGACTGTAACCCACTGGACTTCGCTGCCCATGGAATTTTCCAGGCAAGAATACTGGAGTGGGTTGCCATTTCCTTCTCCAGGGGATCTTCCTGACCCAGGGATTGAACCCAGGTCAACTGCATCGCGGGCAGATTCTTTACCGTTTTGAGTCATCAGGGAAGCCCCTCCCCTCGCAAAGCACTCTGCTTGAAACCATGGCCGACTGTGCTGTTTTAGGCTTTCTAGACCCCCCACCCCCACCCCCGCAATGCTTTCTGCTCTTGTGGTGTTTTAAATATGACTCATTTTTCATAATAAGTGGCGCGGGCAGCTCCGGGGCTGCCTTTCCTGAGACAGGAAGGGACAGTGAGTCCTTGACGGTCAGCGCGGATGTAAATTACCTGGAAGCCCCAGGCCACGGTGTCCTCCCGGCTGGGTCTCCAGCCCAGTCCACAGATGGGTGCTGCGAGGTGTGGCTGGCGGGGGACAGCCTGGAGGGGACAACAGCCGACCTCAGAGGTGAGCCTGGTAGAGAGGTGTCCTGGGGCTGAGGTCTGTGGCCGTCTTTCCCTCCCACTTCTTCTTCTGTTTCTGGGTAGCAGAGGAAATTGACACAGAACTTTAACAGCTTTTCACAGTCTGCCTCAGTCTTAACCCCTAAACCCGTTTTCGCAGAGACGCCCTGTGGTCCTTCTGGCTAACTCCTCCTGTACTGTAGACCCCCCAGCCCCACCCACACATAGGGGCCTTCTGAACTGTGCTTCTTATTTCTGCCACAGACCTTCTGCTTCCTCTGCCCTGTCCAGGGTGAGCCTTTCTTCTAGAACCTTCCGTGGCTCCCATTGCTCTGTAGCATCGCTGTCCCATAGGACCAGAAAGAGAGCCACGTAGGCAATTCAGAATGGTTTAGTAGCCACGTTTAAGAATCCGCCTGCAATGTGGGAGATCTGGGTTCAATCCCTGGGTTGGGAAGGTCCCCTGGAGAAGGAAATGGCAATGCACTCTGGTATTCTTGCCTGGAGAATTCCATGGACAGAGGAGCCTGGCGGGCTAGAATCTGTTGGGTGGCAAAGAGTCAGACATGACTGAGAGCGATGAACACAACCACATGTTGAAAATTAAAAAGAAACAGGTGAAATGAACTTTAAAAAGCATGCACGCTAAGTCTCTTGGATGCGCTGGGTCTTCGCTGCTGTGTGCAGGCTTTCTCTAACTGTGGCGGGCACAGGCTTCTCATTGCACTGGCTTCTCTTGCTGTGCAGCGCAGGCTGTAGGCGCGAGGGCTTCAGTAATTGCAGCTCCCAGACTCTAGAGCGCAGGCTCAACAGTTGAGGCCCACGAGCCTACTTGCTCTGAGGCATGTGGGATCCTCCCAGATCAGCGATCGAACCTGTTTCTCCTGCGTTGGCAGGCTGATTCTTTACCACTGAGCCCCACCAGGGAACACCACTGCCCACCCCCACCCCCCATTTTCTATTTTAAATTTAAATCACTTAAATATGATTTAGCCATTCTGTTCCTCGGTCACATTTCAAGTGTTCAGCCAGCCTTGTGTGGTTGCTGGCGACCGTAATGGAGAGTCCAGATAGAGACCATTTCCCTCATTCCAGAAAGTTCCTTTGGACAGTCCAGGCTTATAGAATAAGGCCCAAACATCTCCATAGAACTTTCAAAATTTTCTAGAACCCAGCCCCGACCTGTCTGGCTTTACTGATTGATTTTTCTGCACGTTCATTTTCCCATGCCTCTCTTTCCACTTTGAAAGCCCCTTCATCTCTTCCCCGAGAGAAATCTCTTTCGGGCTGGGCTGAAAAGCAGAGTGTCCTTGAAGGAGTCTCCCCCTTTCCCCGCGGCAGAATGAATGGTTGCCTCTGCTTCCCACGGGTTCTAGAAGAAGAGGCAGGGTGTGTTGGAAGCAGCGTCGGGCCGGCCGAGCCCCCGGCCAGTGGCTCACTGCCCTCAGAGCTCGGGGCCCCGTTTCTCCTGAGACAGGTTTGAATGGATCTTCTAACGCAGCCTTAGCCCTGCCCCGCTGGAAAGCAGAACCAGACAAAGGACGGCACTGTGTCCTTCTCCAGCGGCCCCGGGGGCGGCCGAGCATGGGACCGCAGACAGGAACACGCCCCGGGTCCAGGCCATGTAATTCTAGGCAGGCATCAGCTCTGCGGGGAAAAAAAACTTTTCTTTGCCCTCACAAAAGGAAATATGTGCTCTGATTCTTGTTTGTCAAAATGTGAACTGCTTGGCATGTGTGTGCCTGTGTGTTTACTTTAAAAAAAAAAACTATAACATATTGGAGAAGGAAATGGCAACCCACTCCAGTATTCTTGCTTGGGAAATCCTATGGACCGAGGAGCCTGGCAGGCTGCAGTCCATGGGGTCGCAAAAGAGATGGACACGACTTAGTAAAACAACAGCAACAACATACCATGTTAAAGAATATTTTTCCTATTACCTAGGTTATCAATTGTAATCAGATATATTAAAAGCTACAAATACTCCCCAGGATAAATTAATGAATGCATGATAAGAAGTAAAAGAAAAAACTCTTAACATATATACAAAAAAGGGCACATTATTGTACAACTCTAGTTTTCACAAAGTGGACATTCCTATGTAACCACCCCAGATGAAGAAAGAGAACATGACTAACCCCCTTCCCCTGCTTTAGACTCCACTTCCCCTTCCCAAATTAATCACTTTCTTGACTCCTAGCCCCAAGGCTCCTCTTGTCTGTTTCTGGACTTCAGCTATCTAGCATTACGTGGTATGCGTTTCTTGGCATCTGGCTTGTTTTGCTCAGTATTCCTTTTGCCATAGTTTGTAGTTGGGTTTTGAAGGCCTTTGTTTTTTCCATCCCCTGAAACACTCAGTAAAAGTTGCAGCGGTTAATTGAAAGAAAGAAACAAAAGAAAAAACATGAGATGTGAAAGATAGGTTGTGGTTAGGTGATGGTTTCAAGTGTGAAAAAGCTTCTTCTCACATTGGGCTGACCTTTGCCTTGGGGATTTTTCTCTCTCTCTTTTTTTTTTCATAATTTTATTTATTTAATTTTGTCTTTCTTGCTGCTCGGGATTTTCTCTAGTTGTGGCGATGGGGAGGGGGAGGTGGGCTACTCTCCAGTCGCGGTACATGGGCTTCTCATTGCAGTGGCTTCTCTTGGTGCAGAGCGTGGGCTCTGGGGCCTGCGGGTTTCAGGTGTTACAGCGCATGGGCTCAGTAATTGCAGCGTGCAAGGTCTAGAGCACAGTCTCAATAGTTGTGCACGGGCTTTGTTGCTCTGAGGCATGTGGGATCTTCCCGGACCAGGCTGATTCTTTACCACTGAGCCACCAGGGAAGCCCCTGCCCTGGGAAATTTCTAGATTTGGGTGATTTTTCTCTTGTTATTATCTACCTTTTATTTATTTATTTAAATGAAAATGCAAAGGATGTGCAATACCCAAGGTAATCTTTTGTTTTGTTTTGGTTAACATGTGGGATCTTAGTTCCCTGACCAGGGATCGAACCCATGCCCCCTGCAGAAGAAGCGTAGAGTCTTAACCCCTGGACCACCAGGGAAGTGCTCTACCTTTTAGCTTTACATAGGGAATCTCTTTTTTAAGGTGGTCCTTCTTGAGCCGGGAAGGGCTGATGGTCATTCCCTTTGTGGCTTTTGATCAAGGCTGGATACTGGTCATTTCCTGATCATCTGTTTATCGGGAAGAAAATGAAAGACCGAGGGTGGAAATGAAGAGACTGGACGTGGGCGGGGATGTCCATGGAGTTGCTGATCTGGTGTCTTCTGGTTTTGCTTTAGGTACAATGTCTGTTCCAGGATCCTACCAGGCGGCCGCTGGGCCCTCCGCGGTGCCGACCGCACCCCCATCCTATGAAGAGACGGTGGCCGTCAACAGTTACTACCCCACACCTCCAGCACCCATGCCTGGGCCGAACACGGGGCTCATGACGGGCCCAGATGGGAAGGGAATGAACCCACCTGCCTACTATACCCAGCCAGTGCCTGTCCCCAATGCCAATGCAAGTATGTATGTACAACTTCCCGGCCCCCTTCCCTTCCTTGGCCCCCCGCCCTGGGTGGGACTTCTTGAGGATTAGGACAGTAGCCAAAGACTTCCCTGCTGGTCCAGTTTTAGGACTCCTCCTTTCCACTGCAGAGGGCACAGGTTTGATCCCTGGTCGGGGAACTAAGATCCCACATGCCACTAGGTGCAGCCAAAAAATAAATTAATAGGAGTCCATCTGCAATGCAGGAGACCCAGGTTCGATCCCTGGGTCGGGAAGGTCCCCTGGAGAAGGGAATGGCAACCTACTCCAGTATTCTTGCCTAGAGAATTCCATGGACAGAGGAGCCTAGTGGGCTACAGTCCTTGGGGTCATAGTCAGACATGAGAGACTTTCACTTTCAAATTAGTAAAAATAATTTTCAAAATTTTTTTTAAAAGAGAGCCACCAAAGCAACTTTGCCCCAGAGTCTAGGCAATCAGTCCAGCTCTCCCTGTTGTCCTGAAATTTCATATCTGTTCTTGGGTTCCATGTCAGGAAGGCTCTTGGCTTTTCCATAATATAAAGCCTGGCTCATGAGCTTTCCCAAGTCGGACATCAGTCAGAACTCTGGTGTTCATCACAGGGGGATGACCGACTATCCCAGAAAAATGTGGGAATGGGAGCTTGATTTGGGAGGCTCCCACCCTTGCTGCTGAGGTTTGTCTGGAGAACCCCTGCCCTGAGGCTAGGGCTGGAGTAGGAGAGGGAGAGAATGCAGCCGTGATTGAGGAATGGGTAGGCTGCAACCCACCCCCCAGCTCTTCATGAGTGCAGGCCACTCCCCTGCCTTCCAGCACTTTCTTCATGACCTTTCCCTTTGGTACTTCCTGTTGCTCAGATGCACTCAGGTATGTTGCTGATTCATTGTCATAAGCAGCTCAGAGAGTGGACCCAGGTGTCAGGCTGCCTGGGTTCATCAGCCTTCTTGTGCCTCAGTTTTCCCCATCTGTAAAATGGGGCTCATTAAGTACCTACAATCGGGGACTGTTAAGATTAAATAAAGCTCTATGAGTAATCCTGGGATAAACATGAACTGTCATTGGGGGCCTTCCCTGGTGGTCCAGTGGTTAAGACTCTGTTCCCAGTAAAGGGATTTCAGGTTTGATTCTTGGTCAGGGAACTAAGATCTCACATGTTGCGTGGTCAAAAGATTAAAAAAAATCATGCTGAAGTGACTTTGACTGCTCCAAATGGGAGATGACAGGCTTTAGACTATTTTATAAATCCCACTCTGATCAATAAGTAACTCATTCTTGGAGCCCCAAAAAACTTACTAAAATTTACGTTAGTGCTAAATTGTGCTTTAATACTGCTCTTCTGCAGGGGACGGTGTGTGTGAAGGAGCCCTCTATTAATAGGTCGCTCTAGGAATAGTAAGTCTGGTTAGCTCTGGGTCATAATGTCCCCTAATACAACGATCACAGAAATGGCATTTCAACAACATAAAAAAGAACAGAAGGAAGTTACTTTGACAGAACTATGAGTTTCAACAACTTGGCCAAAAATCAAAAAGAACACACTAAGCCCTGAGGGCTGAGTGATTTCCGTCACTCTTGGTGCTCTTCTGATGCTTGTGGATGTTGTCCACATCGTTTTTTCTTTTTAGCATGATGTTACATACCCACTGCATGTATCAACATGGTCCTCTGACTTTAAAGAACCGGGTCAGTATTCCCTGGCTTGGTAAATGCCTGTCTTATCTTTGAACCTTTGAGCTAGTTAAGGAGCCTGTGTGAATTGAAGGCTTGTATATGGGGGATTCACCCTGTACCAGCACTGGGTGAGGTTCTTTACCATCTTTGTCCCATTTAATCCTAGCGACGGCTCTTATTGCATTTTTTCAATAACAGCTTTATTGAGGTAGAATTCCCATATCATAAAGTTCACTCTTTTAAAGTATACAGTTCAGTGGTTTTAGCATATTCACAGAGCTGTGCAACCGTCAGCACTCATTCCAGAACGTTTCCATCACCCCAGAAAGAAACCCCATTCCCGTTAGCAGTCACCCTCTCAGCCCCCCTCCTCCTAACCCCTGGCAACCACTAATCTATGGATGAAGAAAATTGAGGCCAAAACCCATCACATCACTGTTTCTGAAATTACCATGTGCAGACCACCTTCATAGAACCACTCAAAAGCTTAAAAATTGGTTTGGGGACCCTGCCCCAGACCTGCTGAATCAGACTGTCTTGAGGGCCGGGCCCAGGAATCTGCATTCTCAGCTAGCTCCCCACTTGAGCCCAGAGACGGTTGAGTTTGAAGCCTGGTGGAGCTGGGCCAAGTCTCCCCAGAAACAAAGAGTCCTCCCCTCCCATCTTGTGTGTGGAAGTTTCAAGAGCCCCTCAATTGAAAATTCTGGAAACCTGCCACTGTTTTCTCTTTTTCCCTTTTTGTCATCTTTCTCCTCCTAACCCGGTCCCCACTTTATTATGGTAAAATGCATTGCCTGAAGCATTTCAATGCACTGTTCAGTGGCATTAAGTATGTTCATATTTTTGTGCAACCCCTACCACCTCGCACCTCCACAACTCTTTACATTTTACAAAACAGACTCTATACCCATGAAATGGTTGCTCTAATCCCTCTTATCCCCCAGGCCTGGCACCCACCATTACACTTTTTTTTAAAAAATGTGGACCATTTAAAAAACCTTTATTGAATTCGTTACAATATTGCATCTGTTTTATGTTTTGATTGTTTGTCCTCAAGGCATGTGAGATCTTAGCTCCCCGACCAGGGATCAAACCTGCACCCCCTGCATTGGAAGGCGAAGTCTTAACCACTGGACTGCCAGGGAAGTCCCCATTCTTTTTATCTCTGTGAATTCGGCTATTCTAGTTGGCTTCTATATGTGGACTCATACAGTATTGGTCTTCTTGGGACTGGTTTATTTCACTTAGCCTGATGCCCTCAAGGTCCATCCACGTTGTAAAATGTATCAGAGTATCGTTCCTTTTTAAGGCTGAGTAATATTCCATTGAATGAATGGACTGCATTTTGTTCATCCAGTCATTCACAGATGGACACCTGGGTCGCTTCTGCCTATTGGCTCTTGTGAACAGCGCTGCCCTGAACGTGGACGTGCAGATGTCTGTCGGGACCCTGCCCCTCTTGTTTTGCATGTAACGAATGTCTCCCTCATTTCCTGATTGGCCAGTTTGTTCTGTTCTTCCCATCAGTTGCCGTGCAGACAGTCTACGTGCAGCAGCCCATCTCCTTTTACGACCGCCCGGTCCAGATGTGCTGTCCTTCCTGCAACAAGATGATTGTGACGCAGCTGTCATATAATGCGGGCGCCCTCACCTGGCTCTCCTGTGGGAGCCTGTGCCTGCTGGGGTAAGTCTGGGGTCCACTCGGACCCCGAGCTCTCCCGAATTCCTCTCCTCCAGGATTTCCCAGCCACAGCACATACCTCTCTGTTGCGGGGGGTGCCCTGTAGAATGTTGAGCTCGCATCTCTGGTCTCTCCCCTCTAGATGCCAGTAGCTCCCCTGCCCCCGTTGTTACAACCCAGAAATTGTGCCCAGTTGAGGACCCCTGCCCTCAATCGTGTCAGCGCCTGAAGGCTGCTCACCCGTCATTTGTTCTCAGACCACTCCCTGTGTGTCGGGACAAGCGAGGCAGCCGGGTGCATCTGTGCAGGACGATACCCTTGGGGATTTCTTTTTCTTCTAGAATTTCATGACCTAAGTAATGATGTTTGTTTGATTCGGGGAGAAGCTTTAAACAATCTGTACATTAAAATACTTTATAGTCGTCTCTTCAAAACTTCTTACCCTTTCATGACCCCCAGTAGTTTTCTGTTGTCTCTGCAATGGGAGTGTGTAAATATTTATGTCTGAACCAAGGGTATTATGTTGAAAGAGATAATACTTTCTGTCCTGGGAGAAATTTGAGGAAGCACCACTTAATTTTTTTTTCTCCCCCCAAACAAAGGCAGGCAGCCTCCGTATTCCTGGTTGTGTGAATCACTTGGGAAACCTCAGGCGCTCTGTTTTCTTCCTTGAAGGAAGCAGGGTTTGTGTGTTTCTTTTCAGAAGCCTTGCTTGGCTGTCTCCTCATTTTCTGCTTGTGACCTAAAAAGAGAAGGAGTGATAGTTCTCTTCCTAATTTCAAAGAGAGGCTCAAAGCCTCTAAGAGCTTAATTGACTTCCTTGAGGACTTGCATACAGAGGGGAAGAAAGGATACTGAACATATGACATAGAAGTTCATCATCTTTTGGACATTCCTGTTGAAACTAACTTTATCTTTGAAATCAGGGAAGGACAAAATGGAAAAGTTCATCACATATTGGCCCCTGGCTTTCGAATGGAGGGAGGTTTTTCTGTCCCTTCCTCCTTTTTCTTCCTTACGTGCAGTAGTGTGTTCTCAGATCCTGCTTCTCACTGCTGTGTGGCTGTGGGCCGGTGACCTCACATGCTCCAGTTTGCTCATCTGTAAACTGGGAGTGCTAATGCCTCCCTTGGGAGTTTGGAGGGGTTGCTGAGGATAAAGTCAGTGAATGTGTGTGTATTGTCCCTTGGAACCAGAGGTTAGGCTTATCTCTAAATGCTACCCTTATGTGAACCCAGGTAAGCTTAGGCAATAGGAAATTCCATTCATGAGATTGTTTCCTCATCGGGTTATTTCCAGATCCGGATCCTGCTTTATATAAATCAGTGCCTTCCTGTAAAATGCTGTGTTTTTTTTTTAAACTGTGTTTTTGGTCAACTTTGGTTATGAGGCTGTGGGGTGTCTTCTGACACCAGCCAATGCTCCAGCACTGGGTGGGTGTCCAGTGATTCCATTCAGTTCAGACACGAATGACCTGGCGTCAATACAAACCCCCACAGCTTAAAGGCTCAGTCCCACAGCCGGCCCCCTACTTCAGATGCCAGTCAAAAGTCCTGGATCCCCAGTCCTTCAGACCAATCGGGGTCCTGCTAGCTGCTCTTCAGGTTTGATGATACGCTAGAATGGCTCACAGAACTCAGAATGGCACTTGACTTGCATTTACCAGTTTATCGTCTAGGAGACAAACAGCCAGCCAGCTGAGGAGGTAACAGGGCGAGGTACAGATGGGTCCTGAGGGCTTCTGTCCCTGCAGAGCTGGGATGCCGCCACCCTCCGGGGACATAAATGCGTCCACCAACCCAGCTCTCCAAACACAGTTGTTCAGGAGCTTTTATAATCTAGTCCTCAGCCCCTCACCCCTCACCCCTCATTCTACCCCAGAGGTCTGCGGTTGGGGCTGAGAGTTCCAAGCCTCTAGTGACCTGGTCTTTCTGGTGACCAGCCCATCCCGAACCTGTCTAGGGACCCACCCCAGATGCCCTCCTTAGCATACACTCAGGTGTGATGGAAAGCGATTCCTTGTGAATAACAGAAGATGCAATTCTGTCACTCAGGAAATTCCAAGAGTCTTGGAGCTCTGTGCAGGAACCAGAGATAAAGACTGAATATCCTTCTTCTTACACCTCAGGCTGTAGGGAGGCCCTTCCTGCCAAGAGGTCCTTCCTGTGTGTGCTGATGATGACTTATGTAGGTTAAAGGACATAATTTGCAGGACTTTATTTGGTTGCTGCTATGAGAAGCAGCTTTTCTGTATGGAAAGGTGATCAGTCCAAGACAGGAATTGGCAAACCACAGCCCAGGGGCCAAATCCAGCCCCTTGTAAGTTTTATTGGAACACGTCATGCCCTTTATGAACAGATTATCTGTGGCAGCTTTCATGCTCCAGTGACAGAATAAGACCCTTGTAGCCTGAAATACGTACTCCCTGGCCCTTTGTAAGAGAAGTTTGCTGATTGCAATCTAAGACTTTGAAAGATGCCCCAATGACTGAAGAGTTGATAATATGCCCTGGACAGTCTGTATGTGGTGACAGCCTTGGCGAGAGTTGGAGCTGCCATAACAAATTACAATAAACCTGGGTGGCTTCAAACGAAAGGAATTGTTTTCTCTCGCCATTCTGGAAGGTTCCCAGGTAGTGCTAGTGGTAAAGAACCCACCTGCCGATGCTGGAGATGTAAGAGACATGGGTTCGATCCCTGGGTTGGGAAGATCCCCTGGAGGAGGGCATGGCAACCCGCTCCAGTATTTTTGCCTGGAGAATTCCATGGACAGAGGAGCCTGGTAGGCTACAGTCCTTAGGGTCACATACAGTCGGACACGACTGAAGGGACTTAGCGTTCTGGAAGCCAGAAGTCCCAAATCAAGTCACCATGCTCCTTCGGAAGGCTCTAAGGGCAGAATCTATCCTTGCCTCTTGCAGCTTCTGAAAGTCCAGGTGTTCTTGGCGGTGGCTATATCTCTCTAGTCTCTGCCTCTGTCTTTCCATGGGCTGTCTCTCTCTGTATTTCTTTCTTCTTTTGAGTATTTCATGTGATATAGTGTTCTTATTAATTAATTAATCTTACTTTTGGCTGCACTGGGTCTCTGTTGCTGCACACAGGCTTTCCCTAGCTGTGGTGAGCGGGGGCTGCTACTTCTTTGTGACGCTCACTCAGGCCTCATTGTGGTGGCTTCTCTTTGTGGAGCACCGGCTCTAGGCGCTTGGGCTTAGTTGCCCCATGGTATACGGAATCTTTGCCTGACCAGGGATGGAACCCATGTCCCCTGCATTGGCAGGTGGATTCTTATCCACTGCACCACCAGGGAAGTCTCACCTCTGTATTTCTGTGTGTTCTCTTATCAGGACCCCAGTCTTTGAGTTTCAGGAGCCCACCCCACATAATTGAGGAAGATCCTATCTTGAGATCCTTAATTACATCTGCAAAGACCCATTTTCCAAATAAGATCACATTCATAAGTTTCAGGGTTTAGGACTCTGACCTATCTTCCCAGGGAGTTCAGTGGTAAGGAATCTCCCTGCCAATGCAAGGGACATGGAGACGTGGGTTTGATCCCTGGGTTGGGAAGATCCTCTGGAGGGGGGCATGGCAACCTGCTCCAGTATTCTTGCCTGGAGAATCCTATGGACAGAGGAGCCTGGTGGGCTATAGTCCGTGGGGTCACAGAGTTGGACACAGCTTGAGCACACACGCATGTATCTTTTTGGTGGCTGCCATCCAGAGGATCATAGTAACATGCTGCGTGTGTGGCCTTTTCTGTTCCAGGTGCATCGCGGGCTGCTGCTTCATCCCTTTCTGTGTGGACGCCCTGCAGGACGTGGACCACCACTGTCCCAACTGCAAAGCTCTCCTGGGCACCTACAAGCGTTTGTAGGACTCAGCCAGACCTGAAGGGAGCCGTGAGCTGCAGGAAGGCCTCTCCGACTCTTCACCCAGCCCCTTCTCCTGTTGAAGGCTCTACCTTGGTGGTCTCATGTCTCCAGGGGCTCCACCTTCGTGTCTTCTTTTGGGGGGAAAATATCGCAAAAATCACACACCTCCAAACCCCAGAAATGGCTGCTCGGAGTCATGCACAGACATGCAAAGACATTCTCCTTGAGTGCTGGGTCCAGGGTTTTCTGTCTCCCTCCTCCCCCTGACTGTCACCCCAAGTCATTCCATCTTGCTGTGATCGTTGTCCTGTCTGAGTATCTTCTGGTGATTTGCCACTGGCTGGCTTCTTTTCTTGCCTCGGTGGGCCTTTCTCTCAGTGGTCTCCAAATCAGACTGCCTTATTTTTGAAACTGTTCTGGCCCCAGTGTGGCTGAACCAACCTTTAGTGCCTACCACCATAGCCATCTGTTTCCACTTCTGATGACAAAAACCTTATAGACTAAGGGCTTGGCTCTCAGATTCTGTAGCTGCAGGCTTTTAAATAGCACATGAATTCACTTTAATTTCTTAATTTGTCTCTAAGTACAAGCAGGGGTTATTCACACCCACATAGCCATGAGGTCATAAACGCAGGCTGTAAATAGAAGGCTGGATCTTATCACTGATCTGCCTCCTTGGGACCAGATCCTCAGCCACTTTCCACCAAGGGCTTTTTTCTGGTAGAGTGATTGTTTTTTGTATTAACACTTTTTGTGACCTTCTTTTGGCCTTAAACACCTTTGAGCATAATTTTGAAAGAAGGGATTTATAGAACCATTTTCCGTAACCATATGGCTGGTGTCATTTTCCTATTTGCCAGTGCACACTCACTTTTTTTTTTTTTTTGCCTTAACAGGAAAAGTAATGGATAATTTCATCCACTGCCTTTTCTTGGGTTTAGTGTGGTTCCTAGAAACCTCTATAATGGAACTCATTAAAGTGGGGCCCTTTTGGGGTTCCTAGCGGATGTTTGGATAGACCACGTTGGAGCACGTCTGGGTACCATGGTGCTGAAGAGCGTGGGGACCCGACTGATTCAAAGGCATCTGAAGTCTGGATTTTATTTTTCAGAAATATAGTTTGTTTGTATAACATTGGAAGACATGATTCCTGGGACTGAAGCAGCAAGCTGGAGTTCTCAGTTCGCTGCTGTGTCATCTTTGAAATCAAGACAAAGCCGGGCTCGACTGTCAAGAGTCCCTGTTTTGATAATAAATAGGCACAAGGAATGCATGTGAATAATACTGTGTAGAAATCAAAGCCTAGACATTGATCAAAAATCTGTATATTGGGTGAGAATTATAGTCATAACCCATTGATTCAGCTTATTCATTTAATGTTTTGAAACTTCCAGTCATTATTTTTGCAGTGACTATAGATATACTTCATAGTACTTTGTTCTCTGCTTTTCAAAAATAAAGTCTTTGGTTCACTCCGTGAACTATTTATCAATTCTTGCCATGTGAAGAAAGGTCCTATGTTGTGTTTCCAGCTGTTGTTACAAAGAGCCTTTATTTGTTCCATAACAGTAGAAGGTCCTTCATGATAGAAAACTTCAGACTGGCTGAATATCCTGCGATGTCAACATGACCGATGGTGAGTTGGGTGGATGGCTAGTGAGTCAGATTTGAACATGAGGCTGTTGGAACCCAGTAAACGTCATCAGTGGCAGCAAGCCGTAGCTTTCAAGTTTTAACAAGATGCACAGAAGGAAGCTGTTCTCATTCATGCTCCGAACAAAACATGCTTTGTTAATTGATCGGGGTAGATGTGAGATGCTAGAAGGAGGGCATTGTAACTCGCCAGGACTATGAATGTCATCCCCTCTTTTCCTACCTGGTGATAAAACTTCATTTTGGAAGGTGACGGTAAATCGTGTCATCGCCGTGTGACTTTGTCAATTTAAACCCTAACTTCTGGTTTTGAAAAATTGCCACCCACCCCAATCGCGAGTGTATATTTTTCTTTCTTTTGACAAAATTGAAGGCCATGCATATTTAGCAGTTTTGCTCAGATGGTGGCATATAAATTGTCTCAAACTGTTATCCGTTACATATGCAGAGTCTTCAAAATCTTCAAAACAAGAGCCCTATTTCAAGGACTGTAACATATATAGTCTGCAGAACTTGAAAAATAACATCGGATGCCTGGCGCTTGGAGTGTTCAGTGGACATTCCATTTTATGTTCCAAGTACAGGCTTATCTGTGTATTTTTTACGAATTAAAAAACTATTTTGTTCTGCCCTGTTTGTTGGGGACTTGGGAGTATGTTGGAAGCACTGCATCATATTCAGTTATTGCAAGAGCTTTATTTTATACCTACTTGGACCTCAAAGAAGAATTTATGAATTTCAAACCCCGAATGGCTGTATATCTTGTTTATAACTGTGAGTCCTTGTACATGCAAGTTTGGGTTCGAGTCCTGTTAACAAAAAGAAATCAGTTCTTGCATCTGTTTTAGCCAGCTTAGAGCACGTGACTCGTTCCTGGCTGACCACAGCATTACCCATGAAAATGTTTTCTCTGGGACAACTGTCTCTGCAGTAGCTACCGAGAACACTTCTATGGGGCCCTGAACTAGTTATAAAATGTGGCTTCATACACTCACACACAAACTTGGCCTCAGTTTTCTCCCCAGCGACAGCCTCTCGTGTTTGGGATATTAAACTCTTGCTTTGACTTTCTGGGCTCCAAAATCTCTGTGTAGGAGTAAGTGTAGACGTTGGAATTTTACTTACAAAATTCTGATTTGCATTTTGGATCCTATTAAAGTTATCTCCTGTATTTATGACTCAGATGTTTACAATGAGTCGTTTGTTTTTCATGGGCGCACGAGTGAATTGAAAGTAGATCCAGCAAGGGCGATGAAAGAGAGAAACCCTGAGGTTTCTTTTTTTTTTTTAAAGTCTTAAGAATGTTAAAGAAACAAGAATCTGAGGCTTGGAAAGCCTGGGGGAGAAAAAAAAGAAGAAAGAAAAAAGTTCATGGCCAAGTGTACAGTCGAGTGCATTTAACTGTTTTGTGACTGTTCTCTGCAGTTTGAGGAAAAGTGTTCACACATTTAAGTACATTTTTTAAATTTTTTTACCCTTTCAGGTTATTTTTTTAGAGCAGTTTTAGGTTTGTAGCAAAATTGAGCTGAAGATAGAGATTTCTCATGTACCCCCTGCCCCATGCATAGCCTCCCCCATTCTCAACATCCCCCACATTTGTTACAATTGATGAACCTACACTGATATGTGATGGTCATCTGGCGTCCACAGCGGGCGTCAGGGTTCACGCTTGCTGTTTTACGTTCTGTGTGTTTGGACAAATGTAGGATGACATGTATCTACCATCTCAGTATCATACAGAGTGATTTTACTCTCTGAAAACTGTTGCCTGTTCCTGCCTGCCTCCCCTACCCCCTAGCCACTGTTCTTACTGGCTCTAAAGCTTTGCCTCTCCCAGATTGCCGTAGAGTTGGAAACATACACAGGGAAATCAGCCTTCTCAGAGTGGCTTTTTTCACTTAAGAATATGCATTTCAGGTTCCCTATGTCTTTACATAGCTTGGCAGCTCATTTCTTTATTATTCAGATAATATCCCTTCTTTTCTTTTTGTTCGTTTGGATTTTGGGGCGGTGCCTCACAGCCTGCAGGGTCCTAGCTCCCCAATCAGGGATGGAACCCTCGCTCCTGGCAACGGAAGCGCGGAATCTTAACCTCTGGGTCACTTAACCAGGGAAGTCCCAGCACTTACCCTGTTCTTAGTACTGCCCTGTCTCGGCGATCTTGTTCCTGGTCTCTCAAGGGGCAGACTCAGGCTAGCTTGTGTACGCCATATCGGTGTCTCCAGAGAACACAGGATTGTAAAACCTGTGTTTATATAGCTGTGTATGTGTGAGAGTGTTACTGGGTTTAGGTTTAGCTGCTTGTTTTTCAAGAAGAACCCAACTCCCCGCTGTTGATCAGGGTAAGAGCTTTGAAAGGGGAGTTTCAGGGACACACAGGTAGCGGACGGAGCTATATGCAGAACAGCAGTCCACTCCCACCATCACCTTGAAACTGGTGGTGCCGTGGCCTGATGAACATGAGCTTGATTGCTTTAGGTACAAAATTCCAGGGTCGGTTTGCTAGCATTTGCTTGAGGCCAGTTATCAGAATTTTGTAATTTGGAGCAGCTTATGTCATTGCTGCTGTCTGGTCATCATGCAGTTAAATTCTTTCACCTGGTGGGGTTTTTAGGGTCTGCAAAACAGCTCAAAGGATATGGCTCAGAATATTACCGATAGCCCTTGAGAAACTAAAGGCCCTTCTCTTTGTTTAATGGCTTCACTATTGCGTTTTGTCTTGCTTGACTCTTCCTTTGCATCTGCGTTTCCTCACTTCTCTGATTAAATTTATTCCTTGGCTAAAGTTTCTCTACAGACAAGAGGCAGGCAGAGGACATGGAGTGGTCTGTCCTGGGAAGATGCTGTGTTACGGGGGGAGGTCACAGTGCAAAGTGAGTGCCAAGGGCGACATCTGGGAACCTCTAGTCTAGCACATCTGTGGTTTCCACGTGTCATTTTTTAGAAACTTTTGTATTGGTGGTAGAGCCAATTAACGATGTTATGATAGTTTCAGGTGAGCAGCAAAGGGACTCAGCCGTACATATACATGTATCATCAGTTGACTTCTGCTGTATCCCAGGTACGGTACAGCTTGGATGCCAGATACCCCTGCCTGGAAAGCGTGAGCATCGACCCAGCACTGCCCTGCCTGCCAGCACTTCCGTGGCTTTTTGTTGCTGTTGTTTTACATTTATGTTTAACAGGAGGATCATTGCTTTACAGGGTTGTGTCGGTTGCTGTTGGCAGTAACTTGAATCAGCTGTAAGGATACATGTATCCCCCTCCGTCCTGAACCTCTCTCCCAACCCCGCATCCCGCCTCTCTGGGACTTCACAGAGCACCGAGCTGAGATCCCTGAGCTATGCAG